TTTGAAGCCAAAGGAAGAATTTTTTTGGGGGCCCGGAAAAAAAAAAAAAAGGGGGCCCTTATTATAGGTAAAAAAAAAACCCAGCGGTTTTTGTTAAAGAAGCCGGTTTTTTAAAAGGTTTTTTTCCCAAAGCCCCCCCCCTGTTTTTTTAAAAGGGGGCCCCCCCCCTTAGGGGGGGGGGGCCCTCCCCCCACGCCATTGCCAAAAACTGGAGGGAAGCCCCCCCCTTTTACAGGGAAGGAAAACCCCCCGGCCCCCCCCCCCCCCCCCCCCGCGTGCTTGCCCGCATTCCGGCCTCCTTCTCGGCTCTCTTTTCCATTTTCAGCTGGAGGTTTTCACGTTCCCGGATCTGGCGGTGTGCGTCTCTCAGTACGAGGGTTGCCTCACGTACCCGCCGTCCGACTGCTTCGTAAATGCCAGCTTCACGATGTTCGGCCAGTATGTGAGGCCCTCCTCGCAGATGCTGCTGCAGATAGTCTATGTATCTATGCTGTTGCTGACTTGTACGAAGTGTGTCGTATCCCGACCGGGACGTTTGGATCGTACGTCCGCTGCCGTGCGAGCACTTCTTGATTTGCCCTGAGTATTGTCCGGTCAAAGCGGCCAAGTGATGATTCCGTGAAAGTCTCTCGAAACGTTTTCAAGAAGGAGACATGGTCGAAGGTGGCATCCCCGACATCAACATGAGAGAGACATTGGTACAGTAGTATAGGCAACAAATAGAAGAGGGTCGAGAGGAGAAAGAGGGGGATAAGGGCATAGACTACGTATTCCACCGCTGTTTGGAGAAAGAGGCGGGCTCGGTCTTCGCAAGGACAACTGGGACATGGCTAAGACGAGAAGCAGCGGGTTCAATCTTTCCCGTTGTTCCCCAACCCTTGTCCCCGCGACGCACCAGGGCTTTATGGAAGCCGAGCTGGAGGCAGACGAGGCAAGTCTTGCCATCCAAGAAGCTTACCCTCACTGCAGGGTGCTGCCGACCTCAAAGCTTACGGTAAATCAAACGGGGATTGAAAACGGAGACATCAACCACTTCTATGCAATCTTCGGGGTGAGTGCGCGGGCGGAGGTGGGGGTGGGGGTGGGAGGGACAACGCGTCGTGCGTGGTGATGTCGTCCGTCCTGAACGCACGGGTTGCCGCAGGAACCTCTCCATAGGCAATCACGGGGTGCTTTCCATTCTCTCTTGCTCGCGCTGTGTGTGTATCGTAGGCGTCATAGGAAACCACATCTCCATGGACCGATTTTCAAACCTCGATTACTTGGCAACCAAAAACAGCAGTGACTGTGCCAACAAAAGCGGCGATGGAATTGCTATTATCACTTCGAGACCTTTCCGAAAATGCGTTACTGACTGCTGTAGCACCCTCTTCGTCGTGGCGTAGTCGAGAATCAACAATCGTCCACGGAGGGGGCGTTGTCTCTCATGTAATCTTCGGTTCATATCTCTCAGGGGGGTTGTGCCCCTTCCCTGCTGTTGCGATTTCGGTTTGACCCCAACCGACCGACACCATTATTTTCTGTCTCCCACCTGGCGTCTTTTCGCTTCCTGGCGCCTTTCACGGGTTCCGGGTCATGACGGCAGATAGATGTATTTACGGCTGTGCTGCGCGCTTCTCTTCTCAACGGCCCAGAGTCCGCCTCTTTCTCGTCCGCTCCTTGTTTCGCTCTCGCTGCCGGTCGGTGCCTCAAATATCCCCCTTTTCATATTTGCCCACGTGTATCACACGTGCATGGGGATGTTCCTCGGCGTTGCACAATGACAACGCGAACGGTACAGCTGCTTTGGGACGAAGACCCGCACGACGACTTCGACCCGGCTGTTGAGCTGGCGTCCACAGGAGTGTCGATAAACACCCAGTTCGTCAACTTATTCTTCGTGGACGTGGATCTTGGCGTGGAGGTGAGAGCGCATTGCTTGAACGTTGCGAAACATCGATTCTGCCTGCTCCTGGCGTGCATGTGTCCGCTTGATTCCTACGCTGCCAGCAGATCTGTCGTTCTGGTTCCTGTATTGTTCTTCATGAGAAAGATTTTCCTTTTCTGCCCTTGAGAAATATTAGGTCTAATTTGTAGGTCAAATCGGCGGTAAATTCAGTACCATCTGACCTTCCACTATCAAGCAAGTTTTGCAACAGGCTCAGGAAGGCGAGATACTTGAAGAAGAATGAACGTGTCAAGATTTTGACGTGGTCGCGTGTGTTTGTCGTCTCTCAGGCCATCGGGGAGGAACTCACCGATGCAAAACTTCCGTACGACCGCCTCTCGCCTACTACAAGCGGGTCGATGGTGGGGACAATGAGCCACATGGTGGGTTGGTTCCGTGTTGTCGTCGGCGCCGCTGGTATTTGGCCGTCGATATTACACGCTGGGTCGCTCTTCGTTGATGTATCTGCTTTCTTTCGTGTCCGCACGAAAAGTGCAAGCGACCCCTCGATTTCCGTCGTAACAATCATTTCCGAACGCATGACCGCTTGGAAACTTGAAATCAAAAAGTTTAACCGGAAATGTGTAAAATAAAATGATCCAACAAGAACTGGATTTTTGTCCGGAATCAGAAATTGCACTTTTTTTTACTGAGAAAAAACGATCTATAAGAAACAGCCTAAGAACCCAATCGTGGGATGGTCTTTTTCTTTTCCCTCTTAGCCCCCCGACCCTGCTCTTGACTAGGGTTGGAAACCTAATGACAGCATTATTATTGGTGTGCGCACAAATATGGCATGGCGGTCCCACACCGCTACCTCGAAGCGTTGCACGTGTTGGACAAGGGGTTTTCAAGGCCACCAACGTTGGCGTTGACACCTTGAACTTGCTAGTTGTGGGATGTACTGAGGATCGCACAATCACCCCTCCCTATCAATCAGGGGGAGTATAAGCTGAAACCATGCGACATGTTGACGGTAAAATACAGCTGCCTGAACCAAACCTTTGTTGGTATTAGATCAGACCTTTGCCTCCCCTCGGCCGTAAGATCCGCACTAGCGCGTTGTTAGACGATGGGATGTAGCACGCATCGCATGGCCCTAGATGCAGCAGGAGCAGCTTGGAACACCCGATCGAATGAATCGCGACGCAACGGCATACATATACCACGAACCGCCATCTCAATATCGGAGGAATAAAAGTACGACGAAAAGGAGAGAAAGAAACGAGAGAGTTAAAGCGTTAATCCTATGGGTTCAACTACCCACTCCAAGGGGGAACTATATGTCCGGATAATTGGTACCTGGTAGCCTTTTATGCTGTTTGTACCCACCGACAGAAATCGTGTTGGGCTACTACTGGGCAGGTGATCGAAATGACCCAGTTCCAGCCCATTTCGACATCATCCGGCCAGAAGCAAGACCCGCAGCGAACCTTCACCCAATCCTCGACAAGCGCAACGGTCAACTGGTACAATCCCGACTTCGACGAGGAGCTAGCGGCTCTGCTGTTCAACATGTTCATCCCGAAGTTCGAGTACACGAGCATCGAACAGGTGGACCCTGTTGATGGCTGGGCTATCATCGGAGCCATCGGTGGCGTCTGGCGTGAGTTAATTTCGCTGCTGCGGTTGTCGCTGTCGTTGTCTTCACGCTTTTTTTCAGAGCAGTTTGTTTTTACCGTTGCCACCCCCTAACAAAATCCAAACAAGTAGTAGGTGCCTGCCCCGGTTTGTTGTGTGTGAGCACGTCCCTTTATTCTGTAGAGCGTTTCGCAAAGTTAAAGGTTTCGCTCTTAACCTTGTACAACCAAAGATAGATGACGAGCAAAATCTATTGTTGTCATACTTTTTCCATGTGGGTTTATTAAGAAAAATCAGGAAAAATAAAAGTTCCATCATTTTTCCCCATTCACACCCCCGCTCGGCTCGCTCTTTCTCGAAAATTCACTTTTTTCTGGGTCTCGTGGGTTTGTTTCCGTTTTGCTCTGTGTTCTAATAACTTCGTCCCGTGTTTTCGTGATTTTTTTGGCAGAGTTCGTGGTTATAGCGTTCGGGTTATTCTTCGTCTTCTCAGAAAAGCAGCTCCCCGACAAAAAGATTCGCAACTTCAAGAAGAGCGTTGCCAAGCCCGCCTCCATGGTTAACCGTCACTTGTCCAGCGCAAACTCCAGGGACCCCACAACACCGGTGATGGATGCTCTTTTGCTTGATGTTGGTATTGTTGTTTCTCCTGTTTTGTTGCTCCTGTTTTGTTGCTCGTTGGTAGCTCCCGCTCGATTGTTGTAGGTTGAAGGGATGCCCTCTTCATTTCTAGATCTACATTTTATCTCCTCTTCTCGTGAGAACCAGCAAATTCTTGAATACCTGCCGCATGGGTAGGGATGTATAGATATCGGCCGAAATGATCAAAATTTCAAAGGACAACGAACGCTGTATTTGTACTTGCCCAACCCGACCCCACTTTTCCCGCTTGCGTCTTGAATTTTTTGGGGTGTGCTCTCTTCTTGTGCACCGACCGTCCTCTCATTGACACCACCAACGATATTAACGCTATAAAATAACAACAACAACGCTGATACAAAACAGGACGTCGAGATCGACGCGTCTAACGAAGACCTCCCCATTGGGTGGGTTAAACGCCAGAGGAAGAACGGCACCACCTACTACTACAACCTCCTCACAGGCGACGCGCGGGAGAATTCGCCGACCGAGGCGCATGCTGTTGTTGCCGTTGGGGTGACCCCCGCGCCCAAGCGTCGCTCCATTGCCCGCGCCTTCCGGGTGAGAAGAACAGGGCGGACTTATGTCGCCATCTGTGTTCATCACTTTTTTTTTTCCTTTCATTTTTCCTTTCTTGTCTTTCTCTTGTCGATACTTGTGCTCATCTTGCTGGCTAGTTTTTCGTCAGATCGGTTTGTTGACTTCTGGCGCCTGGTCTTCCGGCGCTTGCGCGTGTCGTTGGCGTTGCAATGTACGCTTTCGGACAATGGTGCTGGTGCTCTGGTGCTGCTCGGTTCCTGAAGGCGGCCCACAATCCAGGAATCTCGACGAGCTCTTCTGCCAACGGAACGGTTAGTAACAGCAGCAGTAGCAACGTTAATTCAGGTCTCGGTGTATCCGAACTAGACTAGGGTTGGTAACCTTTGGGAAGGAAGTACCAAGAACTCTACCATGTACGTACAAACCCTTCGAAGAGTCTCGCTGCAATCTACCAAGCAAGACTCCCTTCTTTCCTTCGACCAATGGGTGTTTCTCGAGGTCTCTGTTGCTGGTTAATTTCCTCACATCGTGGCCTTTTCCTCTCGCGTAGTCATCACGATTTTTCTTTGCGACCTCATCTCTTGCTGCTTCCTTCTTCTCTTTCTTTTTCGTTTTTGGCAGAACGACGGTAGTAGTGAACCTGGAGATGACCAGCTGCCCCCCGGCTGGGTGCAGAGAATGGATGCCGCTGGAAAATACTGTGAGAATTAGCACGCACAATTCATTGGGTAGCTTGATTGGATCTATTTTGAGAGTAACTCGTTCTTTCTTACCACCCCTCGTGAAGATCGTTGCAGACAAAGAAACCAACGTTCTGGAACTCGGTCGGCGTGCTAATATTCAATGTTCTGCAACGACTTTACGCAATGGCACGATTTGTAGACCAGGACGAAATCGGTAGCCTGGATAAGGCCGGTAACAGAACCAGTGTTGTAACGGCGTTCATCGAGAGTTTATTTTTTGTTTGTTTTTTGGTCGGCATACTACCGTGCTTGCGTATATTTTTTTCTCTTTCGTGCTGTGTGTAGAGTGTCAAATCTCTTCGTCGACGCCAAGGCTCGTTCCGGTGTTGGGTTGCCTTGTCCTCTTCTCTCTCGTGCCCATTCGACCCCTTCGTATTTTGGTTTCCGCTTTGCCCCAAAAACTTCCAGACTACGTAAACACGATCAAGAAGACGACGCATTGGGACCGGCCTCACCAGCGCTCCCCCCCCCCCACGGGGGGCGCGGGCGGCGGGGTCCAAGTGATCGACGCGCCCATGCACCGGAGCGCCAAGTCTTCTTTCGACCTCAGCAGAAATAGCAACATCAATATCAGCATCAACAACAGCGGCAGCGACATTGGCGGCGGCGGCAGCGGTGGGATCGCGGCGCCGAGCGACCCTGGTTCCGCCTCGCCGGCGCCGCCTTCTCGCCATTCCCCGCCTGAAGGCCCCGAGGCGGCCGCCCCGATGCCCGAGCTGCCGTAGACTGCACAGCCGCCTTCAAGATGCAGGAGTAACCACTCGACGCCGAGTCCAGCCAGCAGTCCATAACCCGAACGGAGAAGATTGCCGAGGCGGGGACGATGCTGGGGAAGTCCTCCCATCCGAAGAAGACGTCGGCTTTCCGGTCAGCCTTGACCACAACTCGTCATCCTCGCGACGGTGGTTGGCGGGCGAGGTGTGCTCTTCTGGCCATCTTGTTCGGCAGAGAGATCTGATCGATGGCGATAAGCTCGCTGCCGTACAAGACCAACGACAATAGCATGCTTGCGTCGACCCTCACCGCCAACCGCCGCGAGGGGAACGAGCTGCGGTCAAGGCTGACCGGAGGGCCGACGCCCAGCGCGAGAGTGAACTTCGGGGTGGCGTCGCGCGGTCGGCCGGCGGGCCTCACGGGCGACTTCTTCTTCGAATGTGAGGGCTCCCCTAGGATAATTCCTGCCTCGGCTCCCCGCAGCTGCGCCACCGGCGCCGTCGTCATGAATGGTGGGCTTTGAGAAGTGTTTGTCGAGCTGCCGTATAGAACAAGCACTACGTGGTTAGGACACCTTCCGCCGCGTGTTTTTCGTCTCGATTGTGTCGTGTATGTCGTGTGGTGTGTCGACTTTATGGTGTTTTATGAAATTTTGCCTTGACTGCGCCAACACCTTGCCTGCCCGTTGTTGGAAATTGCTTTTTGATTGATTTTTGTGGATGGGATATTTGTTTCATTTGGGTCTGCGCCGCACGGGCCGGTTTCGGTATTCACGGGTTTTTTTTTTTGTGACCTACTCGGTGGAGTTGCCGTAGACTTGCACGCGAATGTTTGGTTTCTTTGTTGGAGTCATGTTGCGCGTAGGGCACTCCCCGACATGTTGAAAGTGGCAAGGATGTGCTTACGTTGACGAGAAAGAGGTCGTCTTGTGGTCGTGTTGATTTTGATGTGTCTTTCACATTTACTTCATGTTAAAATTGTTCTTTCGTCACGAAGAAAGCACACGAATGGTGTCTTCGTTTGCTTCGGTGATCTCCTCGTGGATGACGGGAGAGTGGTGTTGGTGTAGCTCATGCTTGTGAATTTGGGCACTCTGTAGAAAACATATCGCTCAGATGTTGTTTGCCCCCCGTGTGTTGTTGACTGGGGAGCGAGCTGGCTGTTGTCTTGTTTACCCCAAAAGTATTTTGTTGACTGGGGGGCGAGCTGGTTGTTGTCGCCCTCGGGTAGCTTGTTTGGTGCTTGTTTTCGTTGAGAAAAATATCTACGAGTGAGTGCGTTCGCTTATTGCTTCCTGGTGGTGGGTGGGCTGGTTTAGGACACCATGTTGTGGTTAATGCTGCCGTCATTGAGAAAAAAACGGTTCTATCGTTTTCCTGACCCGGCGAGCTGGTACGGTGTTGTTTACGCCTGCTGTGTTGACCAATCTGTCGCAACTGCCGCCATGTTTGAATGCAGCCTTGGGATCAAGCATTGAACTTGCTTTTCCTGCGCTGTAGGCTTGCCTTTCCTGCGCTGTAGGCCGCGTTAGGAACTACTTCAGTACTTGCAACGGTAGCAACACGCGGTAGGAAGAGGTTAATCGAGGAGCACGAGATGCGGAGCGTTCTCGTCCCTGCCGACATGTGCTCAGGAGAGTTTGGTTACGAGTGGTTGTCTCATGGCGTCGTTCGGTGCGTGCGACCTCGGAAGCGTATCCACAGGATATTCCCTGCGAACTCTCAGGCTAGCCTTGGTATCTGAGGTCACGCAGCCACTCTTTGTTTCCTCGGCACGTTCTGCAAGAGGAACTGCGCCTTCCCCCGGTAGTCAGCTAGACCACCACATCAGGGAATCCCTATTCCGGGGCTGAAAGTATGCCTCATATGGTCGTGTGCCTAGATAGAGATCTAGATTGCCCGCAGCCGCGGCATGCTCCGCCGCAGCCAGTTGGCCCACTACCCTGGCGTGCTGCCTTGGGCAACTAGTTTGAATACGCCCCCCCCAAACTCGGCGAGGGACCTTCGTTTGGATCGTCGATACCGTCTATGCTGTACTACTGATGTGGACTTATGCTACAGCTGTACAGAGTACGAGTGCTGCTGGTTGAACTTTAACTTTCGTCGATGCAAGGGCGTGGTGAGGAAGAAACAGCAGGCTGGATTTGATTTGCGATGGGACGAACATATAACGTTGGTTGGTGTTGGTGGACAGGATCATACACGTGCGCTGCGGCCAATGCTGATGGCCCAGCGGCAGCCTGCTGGACAGCTCGGCGAGGGAGTGGGGCCGTGCATGCAAACTGTGGGTGCTCGGGTGTGCAGATGCGGCTCAACTACACACCCTTTTCAGCAGCTCCGCAGCTCCCCTACAGTACATCATCATGTTGCCCGGGCAAGTCTATTGTGCTATCTCGGGATCTCTACGTCCCTCGGGAGAGCTAGCATGCTTGTGGATGGGTGTGGGTGCGACAGGGGAGGATGGGAGCTTGATTTGGGGCGTCGTTCGTGGTGATTGTATGCAGATGCACCGTGTTTCAGGTAATTGCGCCGCATCTGTCAACCATGTCACATCTCATGTCTCACGTCTCATAAAACTTTCAAATTCACCACGTGACTCGTTGATCCGCATGATGCTACCATTTTCGCTGTACCAATCCTCACGCACCTCGTTACTGCGTAGCAGCATTCAGTAGCAAGCAGCGGCTTGTTTCGCGTCGGTTCGAAGCCCATCGGTATTTTCGTGCAGACAGATCAAACGAGCAAATATAGAGATGGATTGATGGATTCGTTGTGTCATATTAAGAAAAATAAAAACAAATGTTTCGCTGCGAAAGTCCCCGGCACCCCCCGCAGCAAGCTGCGCTACTTGCTGTTGCCCGCACCTCACTTCCAACACCCTGGTCAGGCACACTGAGAAAGAGAGCAAAGAAGGCGAGAGAGCGCAAGTGAGGCGGGATAGCTACCACACGGATCACACTGCAAGGTGATGCCGTGTGTAGCACGCAGCTGAGCGATCGTGTTCGAGTACATAAGTACATTGCGTGCCAAAACACACACATGGTTGATATGTTGTACATAAATTGCCAGTAAAAGCCCCCGTTTCGAATCTCGACGCGAATTACACCACGAGTGTCCACGCCCCAAAATCAAGCTCCAGCCCCCCTCTGCCCCACCCACACCCATCCCCAAGTATGGTAGCTCTTCCGAGGGATGTAGAGATCCCGAGATAGGACAATAGATGGCTCCCGCAACATGATGATGTAGGGTGCAAGTTGGACCCGTTCGTACGAGGACACGCCGAGTACGCCCGCTCTATGCATAGACTAATGCTCCGTATAATACATGTACATTCTACAACACCGCTGCAGGCAGAATGTGTGGTACCTCGGCCTGGGGTGCTTTGTTAGTGTTCGGTATCCATATCACATATGAAAACGCCCCGACACGATGGTGCAGTTAGCACCCGCATTTATTCATACGGTAGTCTATGTACTGCTGTATGTGTAGTATGAACCTCTTGTTTTGCCGAGGCTCGCATCCTGTGTTCGCTTATTATCTACAAGTCTCCCGTTCTCGGGACTGCCAAGCCTCCCTTGGATCACGCAAGAGGACATGTCCGAAAAGGGCTGTGTTTCATTCATGTGCAAAAGTATAGCGCTCGTATCCCGTACAACCGTGCAACACATCGCACGCGAATATTGGGGCCAGCCCCCAAGAGTGAAAAGGTGCCCGCAGTTTTGTGACTCGCCAATTTTCTTGAAAGGAGATTACATTTTCTTTACATCGACTATTGGCCAAAACTCCAAAATCCCTGGTCGACATGACGTGTCAACTACGGCGGGTTTTGTTCTAGAAAAATCAAAATATCTCAATCTGGCCAGCCAGTGGATGGTGCTGTTTGCTGTTGTTGTAGTGTCCGCTGATTGATGATGATGGGTCCATTTATAACAACCAGGCAGCGAAAAAACAATTCGTACCATTTCAAACGAGCAAATGATGAGCCAGATGCTGGTGCGGCGAGTTTGCTCTTGCGATGACAGGTCCCATTGATGACCGAATGGAACCCGAAACAAAACCACAAGCGGAGGCGAGAGCGCGCGCTCCCAAGAAACAACATGATCAACAACGTTGATGCATGCGCTCAGACTTGTCCACAGCAGCAGTGTATCGCTGTGCCCGCTGCGGAGTGTCGATGACCAACGAGGTGTTGGACATTATTACAATGACACGAGAGTCCAACGATGGAATTAGCCAATTGAATGTGGATATTTGTAGCCGAAAGAGGCCAATTTTCTCGGTACATAGGCTGCAAACTGTAACTCCCGCGGGTGGGAACGCGAGAACTGATTTTTACCCTCCCAGATACAGAACGCGCCACCACGAAGATTGTAGCAGTTAGTACTTGAGGCTCAAATAATATTCGAAATCTTTGGACTTGGCATAAGAAGAACAGACAGGTGCTCAGACAAGAAGCCTACACTAAAAACTATATGAAGTCCCCATAGGCAAAACAAGAAACAAGCCCGCGTGTTCGTTTCAAGCATGTCTCCCTCTACCAACGACAAGTAGCTGCAGATGAAGCTGATCCTACTTCATCATGCTCCTCCAGAGCTTGCGCCGTTGCCTCTGCGTGGTGTAAATAATAATAATCGTCAACAGTCGATAATACACTTCGCTCGGAGGCAGAAACAATCACAGGCCAGATTCTGTGCCGCAGAAAACATTATTGCGTTTCTATGCATACCCAAAACAGCAATCGCAGGTAGGTTGACATCACCCGCCTACAACCAAGCCCAACCTTTCGTGACACTTACTTATGCACAACCTCACACAGAAAATGCTCGTCGCGTTGCTGCCTGCGCGACGACAGATGGCCCAACCCCGCCCACCACCACCACCATACAGTCCGTCTATGGCGTACAGCCCACCACCGCCTTACAGGCCACCAAAGGCAGATCGACCAACTGCTGTTCAGCAAGGAGCTACGGATCCCGGCTACAACCCGTCCCTCCCGGAAGGACCAGGCAATGCGCAGGGAGCAGTTCCTGCTGTTGCCGCCAAGGACCGACCGCCACTGGCGCAAACGCCAGACCCTGTGCCGCGACCAGTCACTGCTCCTACTTCCGAGTTCAAGCCGCCGATTCCCGCAATACCAGAGAACATTCAGGGAGCTGCAGTCGTCCCCGAGACATACGCCCAAGACGGTACCGCTGGCCAGGTAGCAACGGATTTGTAGTTTACTTAGGGGCAATTGCTTGCGCCATGCTCAAAGCCGTCTTGTCTCTTCTCCCTGTTACATTTCCCCGCGTTTCTAAGACGCTGCAAAGGTTTTCAACAGGTGCTATGCGTAGGAGACACGTTATGCTCGATGTACCTAGCTCGGTAACTTCTGTTGGGACCAAGGAAACAAAGGGGGGGTGGCAGGTTATGTGGGAAAAAGAGCACCTTCTGCCATTGACATACGTGATAGCTTCTCCCACGAGATAGTCCCTCCCCCCCTCCTTCTCTCACCTAGTACCCAGACGTGTGACATACGGTCTAGAAACAGCTGTGATGCACGACGCTAGTAGGCCTTCAACCCCAAGATAACTGGCAACATGAGTGCGGTGCGTGGTGCAACAACCAGTCGCGACAAATACCTGCCGCCTGAGAGCGCTGTGGTATTTTTGTATTTTTGTATTTTTTTTTGCTGTGGTAGTTGAGTAAAAACCTGGTTCCTGCTGATTCCATCTTGAGGAGCGCAAGTACATTGAAGTTTTGCAATTTCTGCCCGCTCCCGTTCACCGAACCGTGTGCTGCACTCGCCACATTGGGATCATATACGTCTCGACGAATCCGCCCAAAGGTTGCACGCCCAGGCGGGAATGATGAAGAATTCCAATTACACGGAGCGGTCCCGAACAGACACGAGCAGACCCAGTCCGCCGGAAAGCACCGTGCGGAACGCGGTGAAGGTCGCATGAAAATCCGCCCCATGAGCTGGCTGATGAATCTGGCCGTGTGGGCGATGTTTCTGGGCGCGCTCATCTCGATCGGTCGTTATCGGGCGGTCCAGAAGGACAACGAAGGGCTTCGTTATACTGACAACGACTACAGGGACGCCAACCCGCTGTCCATGATCCTCTTCGTCACATTCTTTTTTGTATTTTTCGTGTGGTATTTCGGGATGTGCAAGGATGCAGGTACGCGGCAGTTTGTGGCGAACATTAATCGGGAGCTGAGTGTACAGCAGTACGTCCAACAGCTGCGAACAACCACCCCGGTGGTCCGGTTTGACGCCAGCTGCTACCACTACGAGACCCGCACTCGGTCGGTACCGGTCACGACGACAAATGCGAGTGGGTACACGACCACAACATATAGGTAAGAGGCTGCCAGTGTTGTTGCTTGTTGTTCAATCGACGCCGCCGACCAAGTCAACGTATTTGTGCTCCGGCTACGAGTGCCAAGTATCGGGCATGTTACTGATACCAGAGACGAGCTGCTCCCGTTATTATTGACTGTTTGCTATGGCCCTAGTGGGCTGTACTTCATTGCCCTGAAGAGATATGCGCAATTTGTCGATGCACTTTGTTGTGTGAGATGCCTCTCTTTCCGCTTGGCTCTTTCCGGCCAACTTCTCCCTGCAAGTGTCACTCACGCACGTTGTTTACGGAGACCACACCTTCTGGTACCCCGTGCGTAAATAAACGTGAGATTGGTGTGACTTCCTGTACATCCGCACAACTTTTGTTGTCCTCGGACTGTCTTCGTTTCCTGTGGTCGTCCTGTCATGTGTGGCAGCCGCTCGACAGCCTGTAGGAAGCAGAGAGCAAGACCCACATATTTGCGAACAACGCGGCCTCTTTTGGCCCCGCAGAGTCGGCATCCGCCTCATAGTAAAAGCGCTACTTCACCTTGTACTGCGTAGCCCAGGGCCTTCTTTTCTCTGGCCGATTCTCTGCGCAGGACCGAAACCTACACGGAGACCGTCGTCACTCACAGCGCCAATGAAGAGTACTGTTTCACGCAATGGGAGGACGCAACGGGGCCGCTGTTGGGCACCGACTCGGTTAGGCTTACAAAGCTGCATCTCTCCAAAGAGCTTGGATTTCTGACGGACGCCGCAGAGCAGCAGCTGCTTGCCGCCTACGGCTCGTTCTGCGCAGCGAACCGCCGTGACGTCTTCCAAACCTACAAGAGAGAGCTCGAGCTTGAAGGATTCAAGACGCGAATCATGTGTTTCAGGAACGTAGGCGAGGCGCCGTGTTGGGTGAGCAGCTGCGGGTACTGGGTCGCTTCACTCCTCCTATTGCTCAATGTACCGTACCGAATGTGCATCGACTGGAAAACGGGCATCGTTCGGCATACGATCATCAAGAAGATCGCGTGATAGGCTGTAGTGTGGTTGCCCAATGCCCAGAGACTCGATTCTCTTTGTCTACACATGAAAGAGAGAGAAAAGGTGCCCGCAGTTTTCTGATTGGCCAATTTTGGACCTCTTGTTTTGGTGTGTGTACCCCGCGTGTTAACCTGTTTTGTGATCTTCCGGGGTTCACCTGAGTGTTGTATGTTCGCGGTGTGGGTGTTGCGCAGCTGGAGGTGCATTTGTGAAAGACGGACACAGGGGTGTATAAAGGAGGTCGGGAGAGAGGAGGGGGGTTAAACGTTAAACTAGAGAACCCAAGGGCCGTGGCCTTGGGGCAAAGAACATCCACGTGTACGTGCTGAAGGAGGGAGCTGCGTAGCAGCGTGTAGATCTCACAGAACATATGCATACGTGGGCGTAGAGGTAAGGCCACCTGCACGCTGAAAAAGTGTGACAAAACAATGGTGCTGCCAGCACCGTTTTCGTCCCCGAGTGTTACAAGAAGGAATCAGAGAGCACATGTTCCCGGGATATTTTTGCGGAGAAACTTTTTCTTTCAGTAGCTGTAAGAAGGCAACCACCCTCAAAATATTTCGATGCAGTACATTTTGAAGGGTATGGCAGGAGTCTAGACATGATTATCGTATTTGGTGTCTGTGGCAGAAAATGTGCACAAGAAGCAGAGTTCAACCCGTGCACGTGTGTCGGGTAAGGCTGGCGAAGGAAAAAGTATAAAACGGTTTTTCAATGTGATGAGTAGGCGTTCGACTAGCCTAGAAGAGGTGGATAGGGTTCGCCGGTTGGACGTTGTGTTTTCGAATTTTGGAACCAAGGAGCAGATAATGGGGAGCGTTGCCGATAGAAGCAAGAACAATGTGGTGGGCGTATGCGGATTGTCGTTAGAAGCGGGTAAGGAGAAAGGGCCAATCCGCTTTCCGCAATATTGCAGGAAGGATTTAGCGTCTAACAGGGTCCATGGTGGTAGTAGTATTGCTCGGAAAATCGAAAGTTGTGTAGGGTCAGAGTTGTTGTGTACCGTGCAACGCTCTTGCAGCTGGCGGGACAAGTTGTACTCACCAAGGGCACCGCGTGACACAGGGGGTTCTCAAACCAACTGGTGGTCAGGTCCGTTCCACGATATGCACTTGACGTTCGTATTGGAACATAAACATTAGACTTGCATCCAAGGCTGTAGTTTGAACGGTCGCTTGTACGCCACGAAAAAACTGTTAACTAACAAACTAACACAGCTTGCGCAGCGGCAAGTACCACCGTGACTAAATCCTGCTACCCGAACTGCTGCCATCGACAAGCTCTCTTTTCTTAAACGGCAAGTTCGGGAGGCTTTGTTCCATGCAGCTCCTGACCCAACATCCCGCCCATCTACCCAAGCCGCCACCAACCTGCTGTCGGTCCATTCAGTGATATACCATTGTGTCGTCAACGGTATTATGATGGCATAATACAGTGATCTGACTCTAAATACCAGCTTTGCGCCAACGCAGGTAAATCTCCTTTGTATTCCCTCAAGACCACCCTAAACCCAAAACCTATCTATCCCTAGCATACATTCATAGGGCATTTACATACCTCAAGCGAGTGCACATCCGACATGTCTTTTGCTACCGCGCCTTCCAACAAAAACACGAGGGTGCACAAATAACGAAGTTGGCAGAAGCCCCACCAATCCCTTGAAATCGGCTCCGTAGTTTTGGGGTGCATGCATGCAAGCCCCGCACAGTCGCGCTGTTGTGAAGCTGGGCCATCCAACCCACCCTACGTCAAGACGAGGGCCGTAAACTCGTATAATTTGGCGGATGGAAAAATCATCGCCTCTTCTCTCCGGGAACGCCTACCCCTCCGCACGCGCAAAATCAAGCAGAAGCATATTCTCGGCCTAACCAGAGAGGACAAGGTTAGGGCGGCATGGCAAACAACGTAAGTCCCTCACGGCCAATGGGACGCGGGTCTGGTCTATCAAGTGCTGTAGACGACAACCGCCTCGTTCTCCATGTTTCGTCCGTCCGGTGTGCAACGTCTGTCCTGTCGTCATAAGCTGTCTGTGCCGGTGTAGCGGCTCCACCTCGTCCTACGCCCCCCCGACTGCCCCAGACCATACTGTGTGTACGAAATTCGACCAACGCACTTCGTCGGTTTGTCCCCGTGGACAAGAGGCTGATCTGCCGCAGTTCTCGAGGAAACGGGCAAAAGCGTTTTCACCGACAACAGCATGCTATTAATCAAACACCGCCTCCTCCTCCGTCTCCTCTATCGAGATAAACGATTCCAAGGCACGGCTGAACTGCACCGCAGTACGTTATAACCGGCATGTTTCTGCCACGGAGTTTCTCTGCTGCAGAAAACGAGGGGCCGCCATCATGGTAAGAACAGTCGTGCGTGTTTATTGTCGGCAACGTGAACAAAATCTCGTCGATCGAAGCGTCAGCCGTCGATGGCGGCGTGTCCATCCTCGTCCATCGCCTCTCCCTCGTCCTCGTCATCCTCCTCCTCCTCCTCCCCCCCGTCCTGAGCGGGAACGTCTTCTTCCACCAGCCCGTCAGCGACGAGGATGTTCTCGACCGTCTCCAGCAGCCAGCCGAAGCTGTGGAAGATAGCCAGCTGCCTGGAGACCACGGACGAAAGGAACAAGAACGATGTCGACCCAAGTTAGATACGTCGTCGTAATCGCTTTCTTTTTTCGCTTCGAGAGTGTGCCTTCATCTCGCTCATCCGTTGGCACAACATTCAGGACAAGCTAGAGATGCATACACGATTAAATATTGAGTAGAGTGGATGCCCTCGCAGTGCTACTATTCAGCAATCCTCGCATGCCGTGCAGGTCATTGGGAGCTCCCACTGCCGCGGCAGCAAACTCCACACACGAAACGGTAGAGGTTGCCTCGAGCATGAAAATAAACACAAGGAAGGAGCAACAGAACGGCCCCATGTCCACCAGCCACCCCACCCAAGGTGCGGGAAAGAGCTAGCGGCTACCCTGAAGAACCAACAAGAACGCAAGAAGACAAGACGGACAGAATTAGTCCCGCGCAACTGGAGGTGACGTTTCAGGGTCAATTTTCCCCAAACGCATGTCGAGGACGCCTCCCTCCGTCCACATTGGCTTTGATAAAGATGTGTATCAATTTCACCGCGAAGAGTCGGGTTCGAACCCGGCCAAACACCAACAAAAAAAGGGTAGGGGGGTAAAAAAAAAAACGCTTTGTTCCGCATATACCCGATGCATATCCGATGCGAGATAGGGCAGAGCATATCCCGGCCTTTTCCAGTTCGTGAACATGCAAATCGAATACCTCCTGTACGTGTGGATTTGCGTCATTCGGGGCCCTGTACAGACTATATGTTATGTTCCTGGTTTGGGGAAAGTCGACTTATTGCGGGAGGACTTGTGGGACTTGTCACAACGTGACGGACGTGCATAGCGCACCCGCCGCTGTCAGATGACGCCGTCACGATTTGCGATCACTCTTCGATGGCCTCAATGATGTTTGTTGCTCGGGTCGCACCAGATACCACCAACCCCACTGCAAGGTGGGGAGGGAAAACAAAAAAATGAAACAAAGAAAAGGGGGGTGTACGCAGGAGTTGGAAATCGAAAACGAACACACGAGTCACGCACCTCAGCAGCTTCATGGTCTTGTGGAAATCCTGCTGGCTCTCTTCGGCCACCAGAGGACCCGAGCAGGGGCACGTGAGGCTCATGGACCTCGTCGCAACGGCGCCGCACTTGGCGCACTTCATATCTTGCAACTGGTACCGCACGCTGTAAAAAAAATAAAAGAAGAGAATATCGGGTTGGTTACACTACATTAGGGTTGCACGAGCGTTGCAATGAAGGGTGGCTGTCGCAAGTTGACTAGGGTTAAGGTTGTTTAGGGCGAGGAACGCGTGCAGGGCTCCAGCACACTGCGGTTGGGATCGAAGCTATAACAGAGCTTATGTATTCGTCCAGCAAACAGCAGCAAGCAGCCCTGGAAGAGCGGAGCGTGATATGGGTCGTGAACCTAGAATGAACAAGGTGTTAAATTCCTATTTTCGATGTGAGATCGCGCCAACTTCGAAAAAGAAGACCTGAAGCTAGCAGCACCATCGGCGAAATTACAGCAGGAACGTACGGCAGGAATGTACAGCATGTGGGGAAAAGGGGAGCAAACTGTTGTTCTCTCCTGTTATTGTTTCCGCACATACATGCCTTTCGGCTGTTGTTGGTGTGGTTCTCACCTTCTACGCTGTACGGCCTCCACGAGGGATAGCTCGATGCTGCTACGCTCGTACGGGTGATTGCACTGGATGCACTGCCACCTTTCCTCCTGTTTCAGGACGCGCACATCAAAAACAAAAAACGGCAACACTTGTAAGAGAGTCGAACAGACGAGCAATGCAAAGGACAGGATAGACAGGAAATACGCGCGACAACAACAATTGCGATTCTCTTAGCGCATACATTTGGTGCATGTATTCCTCCCGCCTGTACTCGCCCTTGAGGGTACCCGAGTTCATGATTCCCCCCAGCATGCGGGGACACGGACAAGCACGCCGAACCTACAGCAGTGTCTACAGGGGGAGCCAACGCCAAAGGGGCCACTCCGCTGGAAGGGGGTAACTCCTATTTACAAGGGGAAGCGAAGGGAGAACCACGGGGGCGGGGGATAGAACAACGCCAGACCCGGCAACACAGATGCACAAAATAAGGAGAGGGAATAAGCCGACACACGCTCTGTCTGCATATTTCTACACAGACACACAAAGAACGACAGATAAGAAGCTGACACACCCGCTGTGTGAATATTACACAGACACGCAAAGGAGAGAGAAGGAATCTGACACACGCACTGCATTTTATCTGTTCAGACCGCACACACAGCAGCCGTTCGCCTGCCTACCTCGTCCTCGTCCATGAGACGCGCGTCGCGGCAAAGGTCCAGGTCGCGGCACAGGTTGCAGAAGGAGCAGATCACGTCCGGCAGCACGAAGCTCACGCAAGGGTCGCTGTACTGACCCTCCGCCGAGAACTGACGGACGCCTACCTCGGCCAGAGCCTGCTTCCTCAGCGTTTCCACCTGTGAGGCGCGCATCGCGCCGGGGGATGGGGTGGGGTAGTAGTAATGTAAATGCATGCCGTAGTCGTTTAGACTATTTACCCCACATCTCTACAATGCCGGGACGGAGGAGCGATATGAAGGGTTTTCGCCGGACTTTTCATGAGGATGAACCAAAAGGTGGTCATCATCCTTCCTTGCGTCGAGCCAGCGAGTGTCGGGATCAATGTGGTGTGTATGTATTGTGTATATGTAGCCGGCAACGGGAAACCAACCCATTTTGATCGACTCTTCCATTGTTGCTGCTGCTTTGTCGGGAGCGGTCGCATGACAGCACGGGTTCTTTTCGTGTCCTTGCTTCATTCGTTCTTTTCCCCTTGTATACTTCTTCTCCCCAAACCAAAAATAGAAAAATCCAAAACAAATGGAGCAAAAAAAAAACACACACACAAACAACAACAAAAACGAAAAAAACGAAAAACAACAACCGCTCCGCACACTCACCTCATCCGTGACGGTGGGATCTAGGCTGAGGACATGACAGAGGCTCTTGATGAACTCGAGGGCGGGGTTGGTTAGCTCGCGCGCCGCTCCGGGCTTGCTCGGGAAAGCGTCCGGCCCGCTACCGCTGTACTTCTTGATGGCGGGAACCGTCTCAAGAACCTGGTTTTCCCACAACAAAAGTCGCAATATCACCGATATATATATTAAGTACTTGGTACACTCTACAGGTGGCCATACTGTTCGAAATTCTAGTAGTCATTTCCAACAACAACATTCACATAGCCTAAATCGGCTTGATTTATTGCTCGGCTTAAATGTCTTCAGGAGCAGCGCACAAGGCCTTTTCATGGAAGCGGATCTTTGAACAGTCCATGTTTGAGTTGGCTCTCTGACCCTCTGCACAAAGCGACGGACAACATAAATTCTTGCTCACGCCAACGGTGCTGCGGTGTCCATTTTGTGTCCCATCTGAGTTACAGAGTACCAAAGACAACATACTATGTCTTGTGGTATGCTCTGTTATACTTGTCGATCGCTGGGAAATTTGTCGTGTCTTCGAACGGCACATTTTCACAGCGGTACGTGCCACGTGTGTTCAGCTGCCGTGTCGGCGGGTGTAGAATAGGAACGGACGGGAGGAATGCCCGGCCATCATGAAACTAAAGCATGGCAAGTGCCAGATTCAAGGAGCAGCACCCCAGGCAACGTCATTTTTCCGTGCCAGCGTATTGCAAAACAAAATATCCCTGATACGAACGAAAACAGGCCATGGGCGCGTAGCCTTACCTTGTCCGTGAGCGTCCTCGTGACCAGGTGTTTGAGGAAGTCGGCCATCGACTGTGACTCGTTCGCTTCTTCCTTGCGAAGTGCCTGATCAATCCGAAACAACAGCGAGGGCGACACATCATTTGTGCTCGAAACTCAGAACAAAAAATTCATTCACGTCGGAGAACAAACAACCAATCGACCAATCAACAATCACGGGCGGAGCACACGGGACGGGCGTAAACGGTGGTCGGGTAGGTCGGCTCCCCAGCGGTTGCTTCGTCACCAGGAGGTATCAAGGCTCTCATTCTTGCCAAGGTTACCCACGACGAAAGGAGCACGCAGCCACTTCATGAAGGCAATGGCGTGAGTGGCGTAAGTGGCCGTGGAGCCGAATGCTCACGTTTCGTGAACCAAAGAAAAGAGGACAAAAACAACGTCTCATGCAGTCCTTCCTCTCGCCTGTAGCGGAGGGTCGTTGCTGCTGCCGCTGTCTTCACGTTCAATACCTCCATCATCCAACTCGTATCGAAAAAAAAAAGAAAAAGAAGAGCCCCTTGCAACACACCGTGACCCCATCCCATTCCACCGTGTGACACCGCATCGTGTTTCAAACTTCAAACAAACATCCCGTTTCGTCCCGTTTTTCCACGCCGTCGCACCGCGTGCTTCCATTTTTTCGTACTCACCGCCTGAACCGCAAGAGCCGCGTCCATCCCCCCCTGGCTGGCCGGTACACCGCCGCCGCCGCTCTCCCCTCTGTCCGTCCCGGGTGAGGCCGGGCCGTTCGGTTGCGACGATTGCGTCAGCTGGTTGCTGAGGCTCGCGACCATCCTGCACACGAAAGGGCGGGACGTCATGAGCTCCCACGACATCCTTACTCTCCCAAAACTCTATTCCACAGGTCCCTGTGGATCGGTATGTCCACCCGGAGAAGGAGAATTCGCGCAGTCCACCTTCGGCCGAGCAGGATTTTGTTGACTTGTCGCCCGTGTGGGTAAACGTGAATGCCATCACCGCGAAAATGGAGGCCGGAAACTCCCATACATTTGTGTCTAACCACCACCGCATCACCACATCACCCAACAACATCATCATCAACAATTACCTGCTGCTCATCTTTCCTGGCCGCTGTTTCCGACACCAAAACAACAACGTGCCAGACCTTTCTCTTATCTATATCCCTACACCGCCACCACCACCAACAACAACAACAACAACAACAACACGGATACCAACACACCTTTCGTGGTCAAGCCTCAGCTGTCGCGCCTTCTCGTGCGGCTTGAGGAGGAAGGTGGACACCAGGATCAGGAACACCTGGCGGACGGAGGCCGGCAAGTACTCGGCCAGATTCCAGTGCGAGACGATGGAAGGCATTTTTTGTTCTGCCACGGCACCGTCGGCGCCACTGCCACCACCACCGCCGGATACTTGCGCATCCTCTTCGTCGTCCTCCTCGTCCGGCTTGAGGTCATTGTCTCGTTTTGCCTGAATTTCCCACCGCGGAATCAAGTTTGGGGCAGGTGATCGTACTAGTTGGGATGACGATGACGAAAGAACTGCGTGAGATGTTACTGCTACAGTAGTAGTTCCTGTACGTCATGGTGGTGTGATGGTGAGCCCGATGTGTATCTCCGCGCAACAAATAAAAACGAAGCCGACGACAGGGCCGGTGTGACACCGATCGAGTCACCTTTGGTGCAGCCTTCTCCTTACGGGACCCGCTGCCGCCGCCGTTCCGGTCCTTGAACCGCCTCAGCCGTCGCCCCCTCCTTTCCTCCTCCCCCCCCTCCTCCTCCTCCTCCTCCTCTTCTTCCTCCTCCTCCTCCTCGCTGTCCTGGAGACCTTCCGCATCATCCTCAGAACCTTCCTCATCGTCACCAGCGTCTTTTCTATTGGCCGTCGCTGCTTCGTCATCGCCCTCGTCTTGCTTTCGCCCTTCTTTTTCTTCTTCTTCTTCATCTTCGAAGCCCCCCTGGACCTGAATGCCCCCGTAGTCCTGGTCGTCCAGGAAGAGGAGCTGCTCCCAGAACATCTTCGGCTCCAGCTGCGTCATCGTTTCAATAAAGGATATCGTTGTTCATGTAACTATTAAAGGAAACAGTCTACTCTCCAGATGCGAACAACATAGCATAAAATTCTGACGTGTTCGTGTGAGAGTACGCTCGGTACATGTAGCCTCAAATCAATCGCGGGGTGACAGAGCCCTGCGTAGTTATCAGACCAATATGTCCTCTAAAAAAAGTGTGCTTGTTGTGCGTGTCGCTGGAAGTGACGTCGAGCTTCAGCGTGACCACCATGACGACATGACGATGACAGCGGAAACAATACCGTCTCCAACGTCAGCGCTAGCAACATCAACCACCACTGGCCGGTGCTTTCGTAACATAACACTCCACCCGCCGACAGCACACACCTGAAGGGTGTTGAAGAGGTCCCGCGACGTGACCGTCGAGACCACGAACTTGGCGTAGTCCCTCGCCGCCTTCACGTCCGACTTGTTCGTGGCGATGATCACCTTCTGGAAGCTCGCGAACACAACGCAGGCCCCCAGGCGCCGCAGCTCGGCGATCAGCCTTTTATAAACAAAGACCAGACGAGCCGCCGACAGTTACAAGGTGAGGGGTAACAAAATCCCCGGGCAGATAAACACGCAACACGCCTAATAAAGAGGAAGATAGGAAAGGGCCAGAGGTTGCTAACGCTGCTGAGTTCTCTACGGCAGACGAAAAAGAAAGAAAACAATCCCAACAAGAAGTGCGTTGTGCTGAGTCCCCCCTGGAGACTGGTCAGACAGAAGTACAGCACGTGGAGGTAAGAGTCGCGCTGCCAAGACGAGGACAAATGGACACCAAAAGTGTTTTTTCGTTCTCTCGCCCTCTCTCTTCACGCTCTACGGTTGTGTCTCTGCATCCCTCTCTCCCTCCCTCGCACCTGCTGAAAACCTTGTGCATGAGCCGGTGCACAAGGCGGTGGAGCGTGGCATTGTGCAGCAACGACTGCCGCGCGCAGATCCACCTTTCAGAGGGAAACATCGCGGAAACATGACGACGACGACAACGATGACAACAGTCCACGGATGGACGGCGGGAAAAAAAAGGGTGGTTGCGACACGTCTAATGGGGGGGCATGTCGGGGTGGTTGGTGCGTGACCGCGAAAGCCATCAGCCTCAGTTGGTCCAGTTCCGATGTCAGAAAGTGCTGCGCAGATCCCAAGCCGACAACAACAACAACAGCAACAACAACAAGGGAAGCAACGAAAGAAAAAAAGCCAAGCCCTATCGAAGAAACAGCAGCGCATGGAGAGGGGGAAAAAACAATCGAAGAAGGAAATTCTTCTCTCTCGCACCGGTAGAAGTGGACGAGAAGGCTGTCAGCGTGAGCGTTGCCCATGTGGGTCACCTCATCCAGCCAGGTGGTGACCAGCACCTTCGCGGGACAACGGGGCGCCGGAGATGAGAGCGGGTAAAAACGGTGGTCAAGTGTTGAAGAAACGTTGGCGAAACATCATCACGGCCACAACAAGGCGACAACAACAGCACTGACGACTCAACAGACACCAGCATCAACAACAAGACAAAAGCAAAGAAGTCATTTTTCAGCTCAATGCGGCGGGCTCCTCATGCACCCCAGGCAAAACATACTCCGCGAGCTAGGCAACAACTCTTTGGGGAGCGTGCCAGAACGTCGAGGCAAGTTTCAGCCAACCTGAATCCCCGCGGGTGCTCTCATGTCTCCTCAACTGACACACAAGTTGACAGCGCTCCAAGACTGAGGCTCGTAACAAATGCGCGCGCGCGCCGTCCCCCCGCTACTACATTACATACCCCCCCGTTCACCTTCAGAATCCTGAAGGCTGATGCGACGGCCTGGTCGTCCCCGCCGCCAACTCCACCCCCGGCCCCGCCGCCGCCGCCGCCGCCGCCGCCTCCGCCGGCACCTCCGGAGAAAATGTTGTTGTCACCGCCACCGCCGCCGCCGCCGCCGCCATTTCCCTCGTTGTCGTTGTTGACGGTAAGGGCGGTAACGCCCTGGCTGCCCTCGAGCGCCTCGAGCTGGGACGACGCCTACGTCACGTAAAATCCCCCCCAAAAAATGGAGCGGTGGTGAACGAGAAACAAAACGCAGTGGATTTAACCGTTCAGCAGAGAGAGAGAAATGAGAGAGAGAGAGAGAGAGAGAGAGAGAGAGAGAGAGAGAGCGGTCTGTCTCAGTGTCATCAACAAGCACAAACACGGGTACAGTATGCTTGAGGAACCGGCACCAGGCCCCGCTGATTTTCACTAAAAAAAACGTGTGTTCTCCTGGAACCCATCAGAATGCGGGCAAAAGTTCTCACCCACACTCAGAAAAAACACCCCGACCCCCCCTTCCGAAAAAAACGTTCTAGATCGGACCCCTGCCCCCTCCCCCAAAACACGCAACAAGTAATAGTCAAATTAAGGCATCACCCATTTGCGCAGTGCCGATGCATTTATCGCACTCACGATGACGGAGCCTACGGCAAGGCCGTGAATCTCTAGCTCGATGCAGATGTTGCGGTACGCCCCGGGCTGCAGGATGGTCGGGGAGGCTAGGTCCTCCGCCCAGATCTGACGGAGGGGCGGCGCAAGACGCAACAGCAGCAATTCGCTTGGACACATACAGCGGCAGCAACAAGACGGCTAGTTCCTACTTCGGAGGACTTGTTGTGCAGCGCCGACCCGCGTTGTCCGCTACACTACTTCCCAAAATCTACCCCCAAACAACGCGCCATCAGACTCAACACCTTGATGTGCAAGTCGGTCGTCGCCACGACTGGACAAAACCTTACAACAGAACTGGACTGAGACTGGTTCCGTTTTCTTATATAATATTTTACCTTTATTTCAAGAACAAGCAAGTGTCATCTCTATCCACAGAAACGAGAGTGATCTCTATCCACAGCAAGAGAGTCTAGGATAGTTAGCGTCCAGCGCAGCCATTTTTTCACGAACAAAATACAAACAAAAACGTCCATCTCAAATACAAAGAGAGCCCAGCAGACAAATTAACGACGAACTGAATCTATAATATACGCCGTAGCAAGCGCGACAACAAGCAAGCAAGCAAGCAAGCAAGCAAGCAAGCAAGCAAGCAAGCAAGCTTAGGCGCTCACGTCGTTGTCGTCCCCCTCCGTTCCCCCGAGGTCCGGACGAGAGGTCTCCGAAGCCCACAGCACGTGCCGGTTGTGCCTCAGGAGGCGCCCGAAGAACGCGTCGGCCATGGCGCAGGGAGCGTCCGCCCCGATGTTGGCCAGCGGGAGGTGCGCATACCGCGCGCAGAGGAGCCGGTCCGCGAGCCACCTCGGGGCGATGAAGAACCTGTTTTTTTCGGGGGGCGGTTCGGTATGTATGTGATAGTGTGGGTGGGTGGGTGGGCGGGTGGCGGTGGTGTAGGAGGAGGAGGAGGAGCCGGGGGGCACGTGTGTGTGCGTGTGTGTGTGTGTGTGTGTTATCTTACTAGCATCGACCGCGCTACTAGCAGGCTGACCGATGAAAAGACGTCAGTCTCAGTGCGGTTGAAAACACAAAATAATGCTTCTAAAGGTCATGTCATGATCTGGGACCCTGTGAGGGAGCGTCATGGAGGAAGTCTATGCTACTCTCCGGATGAAAGACAGGTAGGTACCGTAGCAATAACACAGTGTGTGCGTGTGTGTGATTCTTACTTTCTTTCTCTGCGTAGGGAGCATTCACAAACGCGAACACCAGACGCGCGAAGTTGCGGAGAAAATGCGGAGTCCCAGCTACAGGGCAGAGAACCCAGTTCGACGGGGGGGGGGGAGGGGGTGCCGAACATGTCACCGTGAAAATGGACCACCTCGACGCGAGGATTGTACACACCAACATCTTATTGTAGTGTGCATTTTCTGTTTGTTGTCGCCCGCCTTGTTGTGAATGAAGCAGGAAAAGCTCCAGCCGCCATGTAAGTCGCCTTCCCACCATGCCATACGGGTCCATCTGTAAAATACCGCATCACGTTGGCTTTCCTCCGTTGCCCAACCGCCCCCTCTCTCGCCACCTTCTTCGACAGCAATCCGACCAAAGCCAACTCGCTCGGCCAACTACATTATCGCCGCTCAACAAGTTACGCTCGGTCCATTGAAACCTATATAAGCACAAAAAATCGACTCAATCATTGTGCCCCCCAGGCTTTGGCGTCGTTTTCGCTATTTGTCAAAGTATACTGCTGTTACCTTTGCACCATCCGTTGTGCTGCGAATGCCTGCCATCCCAGAGCCGGGTACCTCTCGTCCTCGGCGTTGCCAGGGATGTGCGTTACGGGCAGCTCGGACAGGGCAGGGAGACGCCGCCGCAGCTCCTGTAGAGAGTTTAGGATGTTGGAATGGGCAGGGGGGAGGGGAGGGAAGGGAAGAGAGAAAACGTAACATTGTCAGGGATGAAAGGTCGAACTTGCGGAGTTCCCAACTAGTCTGTGGAAGCCAAGCGAGAATGGAGTGCAAGGCAGCGACGAAAGACGTGGCGCTTGCGCCTTCCATACGAGAAACGCAACTCGTCCAAAGAAGTACATCGAATCAGCAGCAGCCGCGATTTCTTCAACGATGGCACCGCAACGCCCAAGGGCCGGACCCCCCTTTTCGTATTGGACCCCGTCTTGGCGGAACACACCACTAACAAGGACGACACGGGGAATGTCCAAGGGGCACACCGTCCGAGGGGCGCACCGTCCGCCACAACTCAGCTTTTGTCATTCCGACAAACTCGGGGCATTTTTGGGGTGGCCTGTGACCACGGAAGGAGTTCCGCGGCATCAGCTGGGCCGGGACGGATACTGACCAAAGAACCGGAACGGTTTTAACTTGAAACAAAAAAAATAGGGGGGAGGGGGACACACCTGTCCTTGGACCAGCCCCTGTGACAGGACCAACGTTGGGCCGTTTCTCTGTCGGGAGTAAGAGGCCAGGGAGGAGTCGGCGGCAGCCCAGGCTTCGTCAGCGCTGCTCACCGAGGACGTCTTGAACGTGCACGAGCTGTCCGGGTTGCTGTGGCGAATGCGAGAGAGACAGAGAGAGCGGCAGAAAAGGCCGAGGCAAAGAGAAAAAACGAAAGCAGAGGAATCAGACGGGTTGGGCACCATTATCTGCTTAGTGTGCACCTCCGTCGCCGGATGGAACAAGGCGTGTCTCCTCTTGTTTTTACCACATTGTGGTGAGCTCTCACGGCCGTTACACGCAAGAAAGAGGACACAGCAACGGGGTCGTTTGGCAAACCTGGTGTTTCGTCACAGATGCTATCCAGACTCTCAAAAAGGAAACATGCGCTATGACTTGGAACCAAATTTCTTCTATGACAACAGCATCAACAACCAAACACCCCAAACAAACCAGAGTCGCACTTGGTAAACTTCTCGAAGATGCGCGCGAACGGCGGCCGCTGCTCCCCTTCCCTCCTCGAGAAGGGGTTGACAAGCCAAACCACGGCCTTGGCGATCACAGGACGCTCGCCCGGACCCAGCCCCCCCTCACCCCCTACGTCCTCCGCACCGCCTTCCGCGGTGGGCTCTGGCTCGATATCCTCGTTCGTGCCCTGAGAAGAGATGGGATTCATGTCACATAATCACGATCGACAGGCTCAAAAGAGGAAGGGGGAAGGGTCATACAATCACGACCGACATCGACAACCAACGATGATGAGAAGGAAGGCGAGAAAACAAGGACGCCCCGGCGGTCGATACCTTGGGGAGTGCACAAGTAGGGTGGGGGGGGGGGGGGGGGGGGGGGGGGGGGAAAAATATTTGTTTTCCCCCCCAAAACTTTCCCCCCCCCCCCCCCCCTTTTCCCAATTTCCCCCCCAAAAAAAATTTTTTTTACCCC